TTTTAATCCAAGCACATCCATTCTGACTTTCTTTGGGGTAAGGGAGATATATTTATTTCCCCAAGAGGCAAGATTCGATCATGCCAGTCCAGTGTTTTGTTTTTTTTTACAAGCTTTCCTCTGATCCAAAAATATAATAGAGAGGTCAAGCTTAGTAGTCATAGCTTTATTTTTTTTAAATCTAAATAATATATTTAAGTTCACATGGCCATACTCCACTCTGTCTTATCCCTGTATTAATAATGCATACGTCGTTGTTTGATAATCAAGCCAAACATACATATGGGACTGGCATAAAATGCCCTCTTCCAGGCCCCAGAAGAAAGAGAATAGAAAATGATGTTGTTTTTCCCTTCTCTGCAGTATGAATCACATAATGCTCCATAAGGACAACTCCATGACCAGTATATAGAGAAATGCAGTTTTCAATCTGATGTATCACCTTTAAGTTTATGTACGTGGACATCAGACTCATAAGCAAGCCACAAGAAGGCATGCTTTTATGTGCTCCTTTAGGAATAAATAGGTTGCCATTGTGGTACATTTATTATGTGTTTTATAAGGGACGATATCACGTCAAATAATGGGGAAGACGTGGAAACTAAATGCATTGCATTGCATTTCGATTTGCTTCTGTGTAGGAGTAAAAGCAATAATAATTTAAACACCGTATTCCAAAACTTTTAAAAGTGTTTCACCAGTGATCAACTGCAACTGCAGTTGGTCAACTGCAAAACACAAATACCCATATGAACAAGGCCATACTTTGGAGCTCTCATGTGGGTATCAGACTGATTTTCTTTGCTTAAATCAACCCTGGTGGATGCGAGACCCCCCGCTCCTCCCTGTTTTTGCTTATGTGGCCCCTACATCACTGTAGGATACAGTAGGATATGCAGCAGGGCAACAGGCATCTCAGATACATAGATATGTGTTGAATTCAGATGTCACTGCCTACCAGAGAGTAAAATCATCTTTTACTGCAGGGTGCTGTTAAAATAATCTAAAGTAATGCTGACAGGGTCACTTCATATACTAAGACTTTCAGGGGTATTCACAAAAGGGTCAAGAGTTTGGAGAAGGCAGGAGAAGTGAACAATCTAGGACAACATACAGGGCCGGATTTACTCTCCCTGCCGCCCCAAGGCCAGGTTCTGCGAAGCACCCCCCGCCCGCCGACTTCCCCTCCCCCTTTCCATCAATGAAGAATGGCAGGGCTGCGGGGTTAGTGTCAAATTATTTTACTGTTTCTTTATTTATTTTTTTACTTTTTCATCACTTTTTATTTTTTTATTTAATTATTCTTATTTTTATTTTTATTTTTTTATCAATGTAATTTTTTTTGTATTTATCATATTTACTTTTTAATAAAAATGTTTATCTTATTATTGTTTATTTTTTACAAATTATTTTCTTATTTTTTAATAATTTGTTTCTTATTATTTTTTACTTTTTAATCACCTTTTTATTTTTTCATTTAATTATTTCATATTATTTTTTTAATTTGAATTTTTAAATTTTTTTTTAATCAATGTAATTTTTTTTCACCTAACTTTATTGCTATCACACAGCAGAAAACAATCCCCTGTGTGATAGCAATTGGAGGTGACAGGTTCTCTTTATTGACCCTGTCACCTCCAATACAGGAGTTCTAGCACAGCACTGTGCTGGAACTCCTGTGACAGGTGAGAGAGGTAGAGCACAGCTCTCCCCTCTCACTGTCTACACGGAGCGGAGTTAGTTTTAACCCCTGCTCTGCTCCCTGCAGCGTGGAGAGACTCAGCGCCGGAGGATGGAACCAGAGGAGAGAGGTAAGTGCAGGGGGGAGGGGAGGAGGCTGCACACTGTTTACATGTGATCTCGGCGACATCGCCGAGTTCACATGTAAACGAAAAATCAGCTGCCTCACTCTACATTTAGTCCTGCTTGTGCAAAGCAGGACTGAATGTAGGGAGGGCAACTTCCCCACAAGGACACCGCTGCCGCCCCTCTCCACCCTGCCGCCCCGAGGCCAGGCCTCAGTGGCCTTGTGGGGAATCCGGGCCTGACAACATTGCCAAACTGGAAAGTGAGCTGATTTGGAGAATTTTTCCAAATCAGCTATCTTGTCCTAGATTGTTCACTTCTCCTGCCTTCTCCAAACTTCACCCTTTTGTGAATAGCCCTGTTTGACCTGCATCAGAAGCTGTGACTTGTTAATGTCTCAGAATTATAAAAGTAGGACATCAGCATGACAGCCAACCAAGTAGCATTTACCAAAGGAATATATACTTATTCCGAGTAATCTCAGCACTACAGATGATTCACCACATCTAAGGCTAGATGAGAAATAAATACGTCTTATAAAATCCTACTATAATTGTCATAAAAACTATAATGTGTCAATATTCTCAATATGAAATAAATAAGTTAAGGGTTAAAATTAAAGCAGAAAAATCATATATAATATAGCATGCAATACAAATTTTACCCCAAGACCACAATCGTCCTATTCCATCTAGTTTGTTAAAACAGAACTTATAATATTTTCAGATATAAAGGTAGAATCTTTAGGACCTTGCTTATGGTGAAGCTTTTGGGATGAGAGAGGGTGCATTTTACATTCCAAAGCTATTATATTGAAGCTTTTACTTTAAAATGACACTAAACTCAGGAGTTAAATCTTAAAAATGCATTCAAGTACCTCAACTATTAACACAAATGTATCTTATTTGTTTATCACTCGGCTGTAGATCCTCAAATCATCTCTGAATCGGTGCTGATACTGTCCTTCCTTCTGGAGGGGGGCTACTTTTGTTCCACATGGTCCCTGGCTTGACATACACTTTTAATATTTGTAAATCTTTTAAGTACATTTTTGAAGGTCACTTGTATATTAGATATACTGGACCTGTAAGTGATACACAAAAGCTGTGTACGTTGTAAGATTTCTCTGGATCAGCACCATAAACAGCAAATAACCAAAAGCTGACAAATGATTCTTTAAATTGGGTTTGCCCAGTAACTTTGTAACGGGAAGAGGCATTGATTAACTCCCTTTCACGTGATTTAAGATAAGTTAGGAGTTTGTGTACTCGAGATAGATACCAAAGTTCATCTGATGCACATTGCCCAAGCTGCATGTGTAATGTGTAATTCTAGACGTACAAGCTGGCCTTGAAGATTAAGGGAACATTCATGAAAGATTTCTAACTGTTTATAGCAAAAGCATTCTTGACCTTGTACCAGCTATAGTTCCACAAAGTCTTTGTTCTCAGCAGTACAAGCAGGCGGCATGCAGCTTATCACATTGTGCATGTTCCAGAAAGTAAAGGTATACCAGAGATAGGAAAATCAGTTTGGCTGACTCCAAATTCAATCTGATTGTGCAATTTGGCAGGTATGCAAATATACGCATTAAGATTGAGCAAAAAAAACCAAAACAAAAAGGAAAAGGTGTTCATTGGATCCCATACCAGTTCACTCTTGTGCCCCCTGGAACCTGTGCATGGGCTTTACAATTTCTCCCTTTCTGACAACCAATCAGGACATGATGAATCCAGTAGTGATTTCCTATGTGAAGCAGAAATCCAGGCAGATATAAAATACACAAATTAACACAGCTCTGTTTTTATTCATAAATCATTAAATATATTTCTAATGCAGCTTTTATAACTACCTGAATTTGACTTGGCCTCAGCCTCTTGCAGACCCCCATACAGCATCACTCAGACCAGAAGAGGCAGAATTGAGAGGCACAATGAGCTGTGCTTGCAAATTTGCTGACAAGGAACATGCTGCTAGGAAGAGAGAGTACAGAGAGCAGAGGGACGACCTCATCAATCTGCTGCTGCTCTTTTACTGTTCAGTTAGTAGACTGGGACTGTATTTTTTTACATTAAGTGGCGTGATTCACCTATCTGTGCTTTGTGACAGCATTGGGTATATCTTAGAAATAGATTGATAGAAATGCAGGTCCTTTGGCAGATATAACAGCTCCCTCATTTGTTTTTCCTCTTTGTATTTAGCTGTTTGTCCGGAGTTCAGCTTTACAAGTTTGACAGGGATTTGTGGAGTAAGATTTCCCACAACCTACTATTAATTATGTCATTTACAATAAGGAAGTAGCATGCCTCCTTATTAGGTAAATTACATAACTGCAATGAAAACAATGAAAGCATTTATAAATACACCCCATATTGTGTGTTTACACCATGGGAACAAAGACCAGATTTGATCTGTAACTGTATAATTGATATCACCGTGGGATAAGATTTAGTGTTAGGCATCATGACTGATAATATTTTTCCATCCCACGGGATGGCCACATAAATTTTTAGGAAAAAAAAACTAGTAAGAAGTGTTGTTATTTATTCACAACCATCACATCTGAATTGTGACTTGAGGACATAACAACTAAAATTAGACTGTATCCATTAGCTGATACAGGGTAGGAAAATGTTAAATAATAAATTTCTTGCCACACAAGGCTATTTTTGGAGGCACTCTTTTTCACAGATGCTAATTCCTGATCCTGTGCTGACAATCTGTCCTGCTGGGCCTATTTATGAACAATGTTTGTAAAAGAAGATTTATTTCCAGTGTTGATGGAGTGAAGTAAGTGTAATGATGGCAGGCAAGGCAGAAGTGCAGTCTGTACTTGATCCGTAGTTTAAAGTGTCAATAAATTCAGGAGTTAAATCTTAAATAATGCATTCAAGTCCCCTAATTATTATATACAGAAATGTATCTTATTTGTGTATCACTCGGCTGTAGATCCTCAAATCATCTCTGAATTGGTGCTGACACTGTCCTTCCTTCTTGTGGGGGGCTACTTTTGTTCCCCATGGTCCTTGTGTGTGTTGTAAAGTATAAACTGCTCCAAGCTCGCTCCCATGGCGGACTACAATCTCAAGTTTAGTTTTCTAATTTGTATTGAAGTTATAGTCCATCACAGGAGTGAGCTTGGAGTGGTGACTACTTTACAACACACACAGGAACCATGGGGAACAAAAGTAGCCCCCCTCCAGAAGGAAGGACAGTGTCAGCACCAATTCAGAGATGATTTGAGGACACAAATGATGAACAAATAAGATACATTTTTGTTAATAGTTGATGTACTTAAATGCATTTTTAAAATGTAACTCCTGAGTTTAGTGTCTTTTTAAAGTGTGTATATATATATATATATCCTTTTTAAAACAGCAGTAGGATATAGTTAAAGCCCCCTATCAGGTTTTTTGGGTCCCTTTAGATATCCCTTCACTTTCTCTTCTGTTGACCCAGCAGGAAATAAGGAAGAGGAAATCAATCCAAGGTGTGGTAAATCTCATCTTAGATGGATGTCGCCGAAACAAGTCTCCCCTTTATTCCTGTTCTGGTGACAACTCAAAATTTTGGATTTTTACTTTTGATCCGGGTCACAATGGTCAACAGGACAAATAGAGAGGTTGAATCTTTTCCAGCAGAAACCCAGACAACAATAAAAACCTAACATAGGTTCTAATCCTTCCTCACTCTATGCAAAAAAAGGATTAAGCTGAAAGAAGACTTATTTCTTTACCTTTTTGATCTCCTTGTTGTTTGTATATAAAGCATTGAAGAGGTGCTCTATGTTATTTTACATTAGTAGGTAGATGTTAATGGTGAGTTTATTTCAAGCATTTGTAGCAAAGGAGGGGGTGGCTTTTGCTAGGAGAGTTGAAGTTGATGTAGGCTCATCAACCTTACCTCTCCTAGCATCCCAGAGGTATATAGTAGGCACAGAGAGAACTATAGTCTTGACGCTTAGCAGAGTTTAAATTGAAAGAAGAACCTAAAAAAAAGCTATTATTGGCAAATACAGTATATATGTCATAACATACTGTATGTTAAACTGTTAAGTGAAAAAAATGCACTTAAAAAGGAATAGATGATAATCCCTTTAGTGCATTCATAAAAAAAGGTAAATGTGAGCTCCGCTATCTCTTCTAGATCTGATGAGGAAGTCAAAATCTTAATTTTTTTGCTTCATAAGGCAACTTTGACATTTTCAATTGTGTTTTTTACAGGTTGGAAGTGAGGAAAGACCTCTTTGCTTGAGTTCACAAGAGCTTTGAGATGCCAAACCCCCCACTTTCAGCCCTATTGTGACAGCTAGTGAAATAATTGTGAGCTGAACAACCTGACGTTTTTCTTTCATAAATTCCTAGAAGTATCCACTAGGAGTCTACAACATTCTTTATGGTCACAGCTTCCTAATAGTTTTCCAAGCAGTATATGGAAATTGTATTCCAGACAAAGGAACCAGGAGGTCTAGCTCACAGCACAGCTGTGACTGTTATGGCCAAACCAATTGTAGGGGAGATCTCCCTGCCATAAAGGATAGAGTTCCAATGGTCTGTTTTAATTGCTTTTGTCTTGACTATAACAATTGAAATTTATGTTGCTTTATGTGTATAATGTGCTTTGTTCTGCTTTCTTTCATGATTTGCACATTTGCCTCGCTAATGTTTCATCTCATTTTTCCCCACATCACTAGGAAAGTAACGATATCCTGTTAGTGGATTTACACACTGAAATCGACACCAATCAAAACTGCATTAAAGGAAATCCTTTCACCCACTCTTGTTCTTCTGTTCCTCATCCTAAAGCACAGTCACCTTTCTCATCTGAAAACCCATTTTCTGCCAATCTCAACTTTTTTCCTGCACCTAATCCAGATCCTTTTTGTGATGATCCTTTTGCAACTGCAGATCAATCAACTTCTTCTCTACATGATTCTTCTAAATCTGTCAGTCGCGAAATCGAGAACTCAAAAAGCCTAAGGAACGGGCCCGACAGCAATGGGAATCTAACTGACGACATTGAGTTTGGGCAGCAGTTTGACCAAATAACTAGCCATTCCAGTATACAGGAGCCAAAGTCAGACCAGTGGCCTTTAAATGGTAACCAGTCTGCTCCTGTTACAAGGACTCAAAATGGCGTGCTAGGACACAAAGAAAATGGTTCTCTAAGCAGACCTAAACCAAATCCATTTAGTGACTGCTCACCCAAAGCGGGGAATGTGCAAAATGGCATAAGAAAGAACTCAGAGGGGAATTTCAGTGACAAGAGCGGCAATGTCAGCCCAAATTCGTCTGACCCTATAGCTATTAGCCCTCCACCCCAGAGCACCAAGCCTGGAAGAGGAAGGAGAAATGTAAAGGTGATTTTATTTTTTTATTACACTTTTTCTGTGGTGAATAGCAGATTTCCACAGTAAATGAAGGCAGCTGAAAAATATGTATTTGGTGCATACATATTATCAGGGTAATGCACTGTAGCTCCCATCATTCAGGATGATGTGTTCTGCTCTCTGTGTTGTCCCTGAATACTGACAGTTTTTATTCAATTATTTTTTTGGGAGTAAGAGCTTAGTTTTCACAAACAAATCCACGCTGGGAATCTTTTTTGAAGTTGTGACACTCAAAGGCTGCTGATGCTCTTCTGTCCTAGGCAGCAATATTATTAGTTGCATATCAACAATTAGTATTCACTCTTTGAGTTCTTTTTCCTACTTAACAAATATTCTTCTCTGCATAACTTGTTCAAGCAGACCAAGCTGTCCAAAAACATGACAGAGGATGGGGACAAACTGAGGCACTGCCAGTGCTCGAGCGGTTACACTAACAGTTTTTTTTTTTTTAAACAGGGAGAGAAAGGAAAATATATAAAATTATTGCAATTATTGACTAACTAATATTAAAAAAAAAGCTTTTAGAATGCTAGGCTAATTCTTCAAATATTATAACAGATAAAAAGTTAAAATCCTACAGATTCTCAACCAAAGCATTGCATACAAATAAAATGTAAATAGGATATTAAAAGAGATGACATTGGAAATAGTTAAACAACAGCATTTAGAGGGACTTCCATTGGCACTGCATTGTGGAAAGTCAGAAAGCCTAGCTCCAGATATTCTAGTCTTTTTCAGATATGAAATAAGCATTTATTTTTAACAAACATATTACTTTTATTTTAAGATTTAAGGGCTTGCAAAGATGGGTAAATGCAGAGTTCTTTCAGGTACATTCAGCTTGCAAGACAAGTTTCAGAAGCTTCTAAGTTGCTTCTGAGGTGCTTCTAACCTCCTTCTTGCCTTTTTCTTTGATGCTTTATTCTGCTTTTGCATTCCCATTTGAGCAAAAGGCAGTTCTGACATGAACAAAAGTCCATGTGCAAAGACCCTAAATCATGTGAATAAAAGGTGTTAAAATAGCTACACCGCTAGTCACGTTGGAAAAAGACATATGAACATATCACAAGTGTTCATTGAGTTCATTGAGTTTAACCATAAGACAAAAAAAAAATCATATAAAAATCTGCATCTTCAGAACCTTAAAGTGACTCTAAACACTGGAGTTAAATCTTAAAACTCAAGTACCCCAACTATTAACAAAAATGTAACTTATTTCTGCATCATTCAGTTGTAGATCCTCAAATCATCTCTTATTGGTGCTGACACTGTCCTTCCTTCTGGAGGGTGGCTACTTTTGTTCCCCATGGTCCCTGTGTGTGTTGCAAAGTAGCTACCGATCCAAGCTTGCTCCAGTGAACTACGATCTCAATTATGAGATTAAGGTACTTGAATGCATTTTTAAGGTTTAACTCCTTTACTTTGTCACTTTAACCACACAGTTGATCCAGAGGATCACCCATGATGTTATAGGTTGTGCCAATCCCTTGCATTGTCACTTTAACTTGACAGCTTGGTCTGCTTGTTTATGTGAAGAAAAACATAAAACAAGATATGTGCAGTAACGGGGAATTATTATACTTGTCATGGCATGCATTAACTTCCTTAAATGACCAGAATAAATTTTTTTGCAAAAGAGGTCCTTTAAAAAAAACATATATTTGCATGTACATGATTGGATGGGGGAAGTTAACAGATCTTCACTTCATTCACTAAGCTAAGGAACAAAATTCCCTGTAAAAGTGAACAGACTATTTACGTTTAGTAAATCAATCACTTTTAACTAGAGATGCACCGAAATTTTGAAAATTGCACTTTGGGCAAAATGCCATACTGTAATGGCCCAAAATGTGGCGTAAAATCCTGTGCATCCCTAACTTCTCTCTTCCCCACTGGACACCAGTATGTGTCTTGACCAATCCCCGCTGCTCTCCTCTATCCGTGTTGGCAGAGGTAGCGGGGGCTCCGAGAGGACAGAGACCAGCATCCAGCAGGGAGGACAGAAGGTTTTAGGAGGCCGAGCGGTAGGGAGACAGCTCAGGATCCTGAGCGGTGTGGGGGAGGAGTCAGCTGTCAGGAGGCTAAGCTCTCCTCCCACAACGCACGGCTCAGCCTCCGGTGACAGCGAGTCAGGATGAAGAGCGGCTTACAAGCACTCAGCAATCAACTGATCTCTGAGTATTTGTAAATAACTGAGGACATAGTATGCTTACTGTGCCCCCAGTTATAAATGAACAGGAAGTGACCTACATAACTTCCTGTTCATTCATGATTGTGGACATAGTAACTCATACAATCTCTACAGTTTATGAATTGAAAGGAGCTCTCAATATATAGGCTTCCTGTTCATTCATAACAGGGGCTGCAGAATAAGAGATTGTGGACTCTATGTCCTCAATCTTTTTTCTATTTTAAAAGGGAAATATCAGGAGTCTGTTTAGACAACTGATATTTCCCCAGAGCCCCCGACAGTAAAGTAAAGGAAATATATATAAAATAAAAATAAAATCATTTTAAAATAATTTTAAAATGTTTTTAAAAGGTGTGTGGGGGGGGGGGAGTAATTTTCAGTTTTGGTTTTGGCCTGACAAATTTTTTTTTTTCTATTTCGGTCTAAAATTTCCATTTCTGGGCATTTCTTCTTTTAACCCAACAGACGTTTGGTAGATAAGGTTAGGCAACACAGTAAACATTTAATTACAACAGAAATTGTTACAACTGGGCAGTCCATGTTGGTTTGCTTAGTCCCACTTCACATATTGTCGGTCTGGGTCAACCTTAACTTGTCTCATGTTTTACTAGTGTTTAAAAGGGTTCTAACTTATGTTACTTCTTTACCTCATGCTGCCACATATGTGCACTAATGGTAAGTACAGTAGTGTTTGCTTGCCAATTCAATTAATTGAATCACAATGTTTGCAGAGATAATGACAGGATAACCATACAGGTTATGGTGGGAAGGGACTAAAATAATCAAAACCCCTCCAACAAAAACAGTGTGTAGCACAGTAGCACAGGAAAGCCTTCTTTAAATAGAAGGTAATTGCATTTGTCATTCCATCACATACCACAAAAATACATACATACTCCAAATGCGCATCCAAAACCGCTAGTGTATAGTGCAAATATAGCCAAATATTATAAAGCCATTATTTTCAAACTGCTTAGCAATTTTAGGCCATCATCACTGCAGTTTATGGAAACCATAGCTTCTATGGAGTAGGGCTTGGGACCCAGTGAGAATCCATGGCTTCTACTGGAAGCCTTAGTGTGATTGAAGTATGACCACACTGTTGGAGTATCAAAAATGTATACTCAGACAATTGGGCTGTACCTATAACTAAAATACTTTTGGGTGGACTGTCTGTTTTAAATGTAAATATTTTTGTTACTTGTTCCAGAATGATCTTATTAAAAAAAGGAAAAAAGAAAGAAAACAAGTGAACATTGTTTTAACTGTGACACACACTTACAGTTTTGCGCTACTTTGTAAGAACAAAAAATGATTCATCTAGATGCAACTGCCGCTAAGATTTAGAAAAGTTGCCCACTAACCCGATCTTTGCCATGCCACTGCTTATATCCTTAATGGGCCCTGAGTTAGGAAACACAAAGTATTAAACATTGTGCATCTCAATGCTGTTTTCTTACAAAGTCCCTACTTTGCCTCAGTCTATTATTATGCTCTTTGCAATTGGTTGCATGTTGTCTAAGCCTTTGTTTACATTGTAGCTTACTTGTTTGTTTGTTATAAATAAAGTTATATCAAAAAAAGGGGGAAAGAGAAAGAAAGGGGCTTTGTGGTGACCACTGGAGAATAGCAGGGAATTGATCCAATAATAAAGTCAATTGATTCACATATATAATAAAATTCCATTTTTAATATACTCAATTCATAATGTCTATACATATAAATATGCTAAAAATCATCCATATAAAAAACCATAAATAGATGTATACAACATAAATAACCTCCCTGGAACCCACACAGAAACCATGATTATAAATTCATATATTGGTCATTGCCCTCATTGTATTCATATCTTATTTGCATGATTAATTGTACATCATTGTTCTATATATCATTAGTTCAGCCATGATTCTGTGCTTGCTCCAGTCTTCAACGCGTTTCGCCGAGGCTTCCTCAGGAAGATTTGGAGAGGTTAACCTATAGTATTTGTATGGGTATGAGAATCAATTTGCAATAGTCTACATGATATTAGATATATCAGAATCATTAATATCTGCTGACCATATATCTTTATAATGCAGTAAATGCCAACTTAATTATTCTTTTTCCGGTAATTGAATATCCATCTGCAGGGAGTCTCCCCACCCAACCAGGAGACAGGAGCGCCGGGGGGAGGCAGTCCGAAAGCAAGGAAGCCAAGCATCCGTCCCAATCGTACCTATAGGGTTAGATTATATATTCCTGATCTCTATTCCAATAATTGGATATTCAATTACCGGAAAAAGAATAATTAAGTTGGCATTTACTGCATTATAAAGATATATGGTCAGCAGATATTAATGATTCTGATATATCTAATATCATGTAGACTATTGCAAATTGATTCTCATACCCATACAAATACTATAGGTTAACCTCTCCAAATCTTCCTGACGAAGCCTCGGCGAAACGCGTTGAAGACTGGAGCAAGCACAGAATCATGGCTGAACTAATGATATATAGAACAATGATGTACAATTAATCATGCAAATAAGATATGAATACAATGAGGGCAATGACCAATATATGAATTTATAATCATGGTTTCTGTGTGGGTTCCAGAGAGGTTATTTATGTTGTATACATCTATTTATGTTTTTTTATATGGATGAATTTTAGCATATTTATATGTATAGACATTATGAATTGAGTATATTAAAAATGGAATTTTATTATATATATGAATCAATTGACTTTATTATTGGATCAATTCCCTGCTATTCTCTAGTGGTCACCACAAAGCCCCTTTCTTTCTCTTTCCCCCTTTTTTTGATATATATTGTATATTTAGGGGTGGTGTCCCAGTTTGTGTGATGGTTCCCAATTTTTGTATTACAATTGTTATAAATAAAGTTGACAATGCAAATCTTATACTTGGGAAAGTTTAAACATTTGTTGTCTTCCTTTTTATGCAGCCAGCTTCTGATGACATATTCGGGTCAGACCTTTTCCCATCAAACTCTGCAAGTCCAGAGCCAGTTTCAGTGTCTGTACCAGCTTCATCAACCTCACTACAACCAAATCCTCTGGATCTTTTCAATACTAACAATCTTTCCACTATACCACCTATAGGAGGTGCTGGTGAGTGAATCTGGGGCTGCATGGCATTGTTAAACTAGAGTTTGCAAAAGCACCATACTAGCTAGCTCTAGTTTCGCCTACCAATCAGTGGAAAGACCTATTGCCATTGCAGTGCACTGAAAAAATCTACTTCCCACACTCTATTGTGCACAAACAGTGTTGGTTCATGCCAAACCAACTCATTGGGGAATATCAAAAATAGTTAGGTGAAAACCAGTTGTTAAAGAACGCCGAGTATCCAATCAGTAAAATGATGTGCTAGACATTGTAATCAGTTGGAATTTGTTTGTTTTTTTTGCACTTGCAAAAAAAAAGGCTCAAAATCCAACATCAACTGAAATTTGGTGGCCAGACTTGTTTCCTGGCTTCGGAAATATGTCCAACAATAGAAATAGTTACAGAGTAATTACATTGATTTACATTTTCTTCTACAATTCCTTGTCAATTTTCCCAAAAGTAATAGAAAATGAGGATGTTGGGGTATATGTTCAGCCAAGCATGTGAAAGTAACAATAATAGGCTAGTAATAGTGGCCATTGAGCTACTGTTACAAACTATGCCAAGTTATATATTTTCTTACCAACTAATGAAATGAGAACCACTTATAAGTAGGTTGCAAATTTGTGTATATTTTTTTACTTTTAATTATCCTCTGTTGGACCATTCCCTTTTCATCCCACATTCACAGCTGTCATACCAATTTCACTGAAAAACTCAGCAAGGAAAGGCTGGACTCTGCCAATCCAATGTGCCAGCTCTCCCACCAGCTCCATCTTTATTAATATAGATTGAAGTTCTCCTGCCTTGTTGTCCTGCCAAGTAATCCTCTTCCCTAGTGGTGGCAACTGCCATAGTCTGCAAAGATCAATTGGACTTAACATTTCTAACAGATGTGAAATCATTGTACATGGCTTTTCAAGAAGCTGGAGGATTAGCTAAGTGCCTATTGATCAGTAATATATTTTTTTAAACCTTGTTAAGGAGGTATAATTCAATGTCTGTTATTAAATCTCAGTGTTTCTGCTGTAGGTTCTGTACAACTAAATTCATCTCAAACTCAGCAATGGAATCAACAACCTCTACTATTTACCCAGCCAGCTGCCACACTTCCCAATACATTATTGGGAGCCCAACATAGTTTTAATCTGCCAACTGTCCTATCATCTCCATCACCAACGGTGTCCTGGAACCAGCCAGCCAACTTTGTAGTTCCTCCAACTGTACAAAATCCCCCCTTATGGAACCAACCAGTTTCTGTGCAACCGCCTGGATGGGCCCAGCCATCAATTAACCCATTTCAAATGAACATATTTCCACCTAGACCACAATCATTACCCTCTGGATTCATTCAGCCGGGACCAATTATTTCAAGCCCTCCCCAGCTTCCACCAAGGCCAGCTCCAGTGAAGGAGTCACCCAAGAAAGAAAGTGATGCTTTTACTGCTCTGGATCCTCTGGGTGAAAAGGAAAAGAAGAATGTGAAAGATATGTTTAAAGACTACCAGCTGGCTAAGCCTCCTGCTGTCCCTGCAAGACGTGGAGAGCAGCAGAACAGCTCGAGTGGCACATCTGGGGCTTTTTCAAATTACTTCAATAGCAAAATTGGAATTCCCCAAGACAGTGCGGACCATGACGATTATGATATCAGTCAAATCTCTTCTAAAATGAATGGTAATGTGCTAAGTGGTTTAATTTAATGGGAAATGCTATACTGATAAAAAGATACACTTTGTAAAAGTATTAATAGGATGGAAACATTTGTGTTCAGGATCATGTAAAGTATGCTCCAATTTGACCTCAGATCACTGGGTGTGCTTTTGTTATTATCATGTTTAACACAAGAACATCCCCTTGAATATCAGACTCTGTATATTGGTGTTATGGTGAAATGATGGTCATTGTGCATACTGAAAGCTGTCAGGAGAACCCATAGTAAAGAAGAGTATTAAGATACTGGTAGATATTCCCAGGGATTCATAATGCAGAGTGTTATTAAGGTCTTAAGTGACCCTTGTCATTCCTTTAGCTATGCCATCTAACAATACTTGTGGATAGCGGATGTTGTATCAGCTGTGTAATAATCAATAGATAGCAGCTGTGTAAATTGACTTTGCCTTCAAAAGTCAGATGAGCATGCATACAAAGTGTGCCTTTGTAGTAATTCTACCTGGTTATTATGGTATCAAGTCCCCGTTCCTAATTGGTACTCATTTTTCGGCTGACAGCTCACTGTATTAACAGTAAACTGCCAGCCAATAGAAGAACAACATTGCAACCAATTTGGAAAGGATTGATGTTATTTTATCCATGCAGACTTAACACACAGGAAAAAAATATGTAAAGAACAAATAAGATACTATGCACCTAAGTTATTAGTAGAACAATAGTTCTTTATTGACTAACAATGATCTAAGGTAAAAAGAAAAACCCACATAATTAAAAAAAGACAATATTATCTATATTCCCTGGGGAACGATGGACCCCCAGTATCCATACAAAAGGAATCATCCTACTATCATATAGAAAATAAGTATCTACACTCTATATGATATGGATACTGAAGGCCTGTCATTCCCCAGGGAATATAGACAATATTGTCTTTTTTTAATTTTGTTTTTTAACTTTAACAGCTGCTACCCAGGCATTGCTAGAGCTTTGTGATAGGAGAGAAGGTGCACTAAAGAGGTTAAAACCGCCTCTATGCACAGATACTGTTCACTGGTATTGCAAATGGAACAGCAAGGGTCACCTTAAGCAGCCACTCAGGCTTTTTCCTTATGTTGGCCATGCAGTTAGTTGTCAGTTCTGTTGGCAGTTTTGTTTTAGCTTCCTATGAACTTGAATCACAGCAATCTGCTACGCATCATTTCATTTGTTTCTTGAGTGTCCAAGTGATCAAAATTTAAACAGCCGATATTGGCTGTTATACACAAGCCTTTAAATCGTCGCCTATGGCCAATTTTAGGCATGGTAGATTTTTGTGATTTCGCGGGTGCACGCAGTTTTAAAGCTTGACATGTTTGGTGTCTATTTTCCCGACGTGACCCCGACTTTTATATTTTACCAAAAATTGGGTACTGATAAATGTTTTATAACACAATGTAGGTAAAACAGTTTTTTTTTCAAAATTTACTGACCTTTTTTATTATATAGTAAAACAAACCCCCCAGTGGTCATTAAATACCACCAAAAGAAAGCTCTATCTGTCCGCAAAAAATGGTATTTCAATGGCATTCAATCTGTTCTGTATAAGTATACCTTTTGAAGTACATTCGACCAGAGAAGAAATTACATTAAGAACATTTGTTTTGGCCCCATTCTCACAACAGCTGGTACTCACACAGAATTATTGTGCCTGCAGTTTTGCTGGGCAAATAAGCTATGTTACTTTTTGTATACATAGGATTCTATCGGGATCCCACCACACACCTTACCGGCATACCCCTTACGAATGGGTGCTAAAGTGACGACGGATAGCACCGCTGTATCCAAATGCGAAATAGTATGTCACCAGCACCCTGGGGTCAAATGTCCAACTACGTCTTTTATTGACGTGTGTACATCATTGTTAATTACAGTCAACATTTCGGTTACCACTTAGGGTACCTTCATCAGGCACAATATGATGAAACGTTGCCTGTAATTGACAGAGATGTACACATACCAACAAAATAAGTTTTTGGACATTTGACCTCGGTGTGCTGGTGACATACTATTTCGCATTTTTTAATAAAAGACCCCACAGTGTAATGCACTATGCACACTGCAGTAACGCACAGTAAAACATGCATTAGCACGGCACAATGGTGTGCATTGATCTGTAAGCAACATTGGATGCTTGTCCTGATTTTCTTTATAGTTATTAGAGGACTGAAGAAAAACCATTAAAATACACTGCCTGCCCAAAAATAAAGTCACACACTCTGATATTCTGTTGGACCGCCTTTAGCTTTGATTAAGGAATACATTAACGGTGGCATCATTGCAATAAGCTTATACAATGTCACAACAATAATTTCCATGCAGAGTTGCATTCATTTTTCTCCAAGATCTTGTAGTGACGATGGGAGTTGGACCACTGCGTAAAGTCTTCTCCCGCACCTCCCAAAGATTCTCAATGGGGTTAAGGTTAAGGACTCTAGTGGCCAGTCCATGTGTGACAATAATGTCTCATGTTCCCTGAACCACTCTTTCACAATTTGAGCCCGATGAATCCTGGCATTGTCATCTTGGAATATGTCCAATGTGCCATCAGGAAAGAAAGAATCCATTGATGGAAAAATGTGTTCATTCAGTATATTCAGGTAGACAGCTGACCTCATTTTTTGGGGACACAACGTTGCTGAACCTGGACCTGACCAACTGAAGCAACCCCAGATCACAACACTTATCCAATGGAAGGCTTTGAGCTATTTCCTTAACTAAATCCAGGTGGTGACTTTTTTTTTTCCAGGCAGTGTGTGTGATGGTAGGCTATTTTGTGTTTTTGATGTGATACCAGATTTCACCTGCAGGTGGTAGTGCAGGTAAACTTGACACTGCAGTTCCTCATGCTGCAGAAGGCAGGGACCGAAGTTACCGTGCAGAGTCACAATCATTTATGATATCATTTTAGGGCAAATCCTTTCAAAGTTCAGTCATTGATGTGAAACTAAAACTGCAATTTTTGAAACACTGATACCCTAGATATACCAATATGAGTAACAGCAGGAAAAGTATTTCAGGGGAGCAAGTAGAACTTTGTTTTTAAAAGTTGAATAAAGTAAACCTGTCATTACCACATTTTATATTCACAATGTGACTGTTTATTTGACTAACAGAGCCACCAAAGCCAGCCCCACGAGTGCAAACGCTGCCAGCGACCAAACCCAGGGATGGGTTGTTTGAAAACCCATTTGGATCAGACTCCTTCGGTGCTCCATTACAAAACTCTGTAAGTAAAAGTCTAGTTTTCTACAGTACAGCTCTTAATGTCTCTAAGCAGATGACACTTCACGTCGATGTGCTTGGTTCTAGGGTTGACTCTTTTTGATTGTTTCAGCTAGGGATGCACCCTGTGCCGATACAGAGTATTTGGGTGAGTACTTCAGGGAGCATGAAGCTGGCTTCATGACTCACCCCCCCCGGCTTCCTGATTGGCCGGGAAGTCGACTCCATGCTCCCACTTGGTGACGAGGGAGCATAAAGCCGGCGCACTGGCCAATCAGAAAGCCTGGCCCTTGACTCGCCGCCCAGCTTCCTGATTGGTCGGGAAGCTGGCCAATTACGAAGCCAGGCAGCGAGTCATTACACGCCCCCTAGCTTCCTGATTGGCAAGAAAGCCGGCTCCATGCTTCCTAGCCACCTGGTGATTATGGAGTCTGGATACGGCCTCACAGCTAATCTGGAAACCAGGCGGCGAGTAATTACACGCCTCCTGGCTACCCGGCTAATCAGGAAGCCAGGTGGCGAGTCATTACATGCCGCCCAGCTTCCTTAATGGGACTTCTGGTATCGATATTCTTTGATGTAACCTAGGCGAGGCTTTGATCCATGCCACATTTCAAATGGGGTGCTTTTAACGGCTTTTGAAGGTAGTCTGTTCTGTAAAAAGGTTGCAGTTATGGCTCCCGGGTTTCGGTGCCCTAGTCGTCTGTGCCATAGGTAGATACATTTGTTGTGTGGATTATGAGTGGCTGTCTTGACTTATTCATCTGCAGTTGTTTATCTAGATTTCCTTTTGCAAGGATTTGATTATTGTTTCGGATTGTACATTCATCACCTCGGAACTGAACAGAGAGACCGTTATTAGTAAGGGTTTTCACTGATAGAAGGCTTCCTTCTAGGTCTGGGACATAAAGTACATTTTTCACGAGGATACTCTGCTTGTCCCGATGGTTCAACAATTCTTGACTTTTACCTTTTGCTACCTGCAGTAATACTTTTCCCGTTTGCTAGGAAAGCTTTGTCCTTTGTCCAGTGAAATCAAGGTCTGTGAAGATGGGCTCATCACTAGTCATGTGACTTGTTGCAAGTCAATACACCATCCACGTGGTATACTGTTTTGAGTCACTTTAAAAGTAGAGCTCATTGATGTGCCTGCAGTTTGCTTGGTAGCTGCCTTAGCTCTTTCTCTTGTAGGTGCCTCTCGCTTTCGCTGCTCAGCTTACCAGGTTGAACAGTTCTTTTTCAGGTGACCAGTCTTTTTACTACGAAAAACAGTCATTTTTTTTGTTTTGCTTAAAGTGACATTAAACCCTCAGATTTTTTAACATAAACCAATACTGTAATGTGTGCCTTACTGTAATCCATGGTTGTTTCCCTTCTCTTTGCTGCTCTTCCTTTTAAATCCTCATGCCTTCTCATGCTTGGGGAGAACTTCCCTTTGCAGCTCAGAGCCTCTTCCTGTAGTGCTGGCTCAGGTTACAAGCCTATAGAAACCTATACACAGACACCATGTATCCATTCCTGAGACAAGGCAGTCTGCTGCAAAACAGAAGTTCTGCAGAGCATGAGAACAGATACAGATTTAAAAGGAAGAGCAGCAAAGAGAAGGGAAACAACCATGGATTACAGTAAGGCACACATTACAGTATTGTTTTATGTTAAAAAAATCTGAGGGTTTAATGCCACTTAAAGGGCTTTTTTCAATTTCTTCATTGTGCATATTTTCTTTCTTTCTGTAATATGCATCAATTAATTTTGGCATATTCTAGTGTTAATTCCTGCTCAGGTCTGGTTTCTAGAGCATTAATAAGAGCATTGTATGACTCTGGAAGGCTGCATAGCAGTAATGCCACCATGTGGTTATCTTTAATTTCCTCTCCAATTGCCTGTTCTTATCCCATTCCTCTGTGGGACCATTACTGGGTCTGTCTATACTCAGTACTTGCCACAAGTCGTCTTTGCTTAGCAGCATTTCAAGCTTGAACTTCCATAGCTGGCAGTTGGTATTGTTGAGCTTTGTGATTGCAAACTTCATATCTGAACTGCTTGCCATCTTTCAGTAGCTTGGAGACTCTTGTTAACTGGCAGTGTTCTGTTTAGTGTCTGGGCCCATAACCTGTTGGTTATATGTGTAGACGAAGCACTGAGATCTTGAGGAATGCTGAATTAAGTTTTACTTGCTTAGAAGAATATTACATGTGAATACAGCATTATGCAGGAAACATATAGAGTATATAGGAAAACTTCCTGTGTATCATAGATAAGCATGCATATAGAAAACTAACATTGCACTACAGCGCCATCTACAGCTCAAAAGATAAATTATCAGTATATGCTGTTGCATTTCCAACAATAGCAAAGGAGCGAATGGTGCTATTCTCACTGTAGCCAGGGAGGGAATGGTGTTATTCTCACTGTAGCCAGGGAGGGAATGATGTTAATCTCACTGTAGCCAGGGAGGCAATGGTGTTATGCTCACTATGGCCAGGGAGGGAAAGGTGTTATTCTCACTATGGCCAGGGAGGGAATGGTGTAAATCTCACTTTAGCCAGGGAGGGAATGGGATTATTCTCATTATATCTTTTTCTACATTAATATAATAGAGCAGGCATTGAGACCCTTATAACTTTGATTCCCATGAGATGTTGCTGTGAATTTAGGAAGGGTGTGCTGTGGAATTTTTTTATTTTTATTTCTAGAACAGTAGAGGGTGTGTACGTTTATTTTCCTAAAATAGCACAAATCCGCTGTTATGTGTATTGCTTGCTGACAGGTCCCAGTTTTACCTCCTTGACATATTAACTTACAATGCGTATTTCATTGGAGCTGAGACCACTTATTCATGTAAATGAGTAGGAACAGACAAAGCAAGTCCCTGCCAAATGGATGTCCTCACTTTGTCTTCCAAAACAGTAAAAGGCCGATACACAGCATTATTGGCAATTCCTTTTATTGGCACTTACTGCTAGCTTGTGTCTGTCCTCTTATTGAATTCACAGAAAAAGGGGACATCGACGTCACATCAGGTTGCAGTGCTCTTGTTAGGGGGAGGGGTTAATTGAGCTCAGGTGTCTCTCATTGAGCAGGTGTATTATAAACTAGTGCATCACTCATTTTGAGCTTGCTCACACAGGGCTTGGGAACAAAGTGCCTGGGAGCTAAGTGGCGTTAAAAAATTGGCGTTTAAACAATTGAAGTTTAACAAGGGCGGTTGTAACTTCTTCCAGGGCGGTGGTATAAATTAAATTTAGTTTAACAAACAAGTTATTGACTGTTCATCAAGTTTCAGTGTGAAGGAGAAAATCTAAATCTGAAAATAAATATTTATAAAAAGAAGTGTCTTAATGCTTTTAGCAACCAGAATAGAGTATGTCAGAAAACAATAGCAAACATCTAAGTGGTTGTTAATCAAAACAGTATTGTATTTAATTGTATACAGTTTATTCACATGCTGCACTCAACAAACACTATTCAGCAACAATCTATGATGTCATAGAACTTCTCAATTATTGTCAAGCAAATGCTAGTGATACCAATTGACTTTTACATATATTTTGATGGCAACAAGTGTTAAAATATCACATGATTTGGTAGAATATTGTATGAAATACCATATGCATTATCTGTAGGGCTGCGGAAATTAACGATTAACTACTCGATTAATCGTTAATTTTTTTAATCGATCAAAATTCATTTCATCATACTCACCTCTCCGCCGGCTTCCAGGTCTTCCGGGAGTCCCGTCACGGACATCGACGTCACCGGACTCCTCCCCCCTTCCCCAAGTGGCACCGTCGGCTAACGAAGGGAAGGGGGGAGGAGTCCGGTGACGTTGATGTCCGTCACGGCTAACGAAGGGAAGGGGGAGGAGAGCAAGTGCCCAAGGCATACATTATTATTTTTAATTAAAGAAAAAAAGCTATGTTTTGAAAAACGAAAGCAATGCTTTAAATGATAAGCTTTGTTTGCTTTCATCAAGCTCGTCAGAGATCCAGTGACATCACGGGCATCGACGTCACCGGACTCCTCCCCTTTTCCCCAAGTGGCTCCATCGGCTAACGAAGGGAAGGGGTTAGGAGTCCGGTGACGTCGATGTTCGTGACGGCTAACGTTATAATTAATCGAAATTCATCGATTAACAAAAAATTTGATTAATCGAACACGGAAATTTTAATCAGTAACAGCCCTAATTATTTGCATTGATAATGTGAGTGAATCTTTTTTTTAATTAGCCAATAAGAATTTTCAAGACATGATGAAAGGAAAGCAAATAACCAATGCTTTAAAGCTTTTAGGAATTGATCCCTTTATGGCGGCCCACAATAGATCTTTCATGAAAAACAATGTTAGGATTACTACTGTAAGTAATATCATAGAGTACTCCTCAGAGTTATTTAGCCCGAGTTTTCCTGCAACCTTAAAGTAACACTAAACTCTGGAGTTAAATCTTAAAAATGCATTCAGGTACCTTAAAAGAGAACTATGGGGTAAGTGTTTTTCCCCATAGTTCTCTTAAGGGTCACGGGAGGACATATACTAGCCTCCTCCCGTGACCCAAAGCTCAGTATAAAACACAAAAATTCCCCAGCCTCAGCCTGCCAGCCAGCCTGCAACCAAACAAGTAGCCCTGTCAACAGTATGCGTTAAAATCAGAGGTTTTAGTTGCACAAACTTTTGGCCAAAAATATGTAGAAGCCACACTGCCGCGCCAAGGCACCTCTGCAAAGTGTGGTCCTAACTCTATGTATCTGAGTCTCCAAGTGTGAGCATATTAATGAAGTTGATAAATTACATGCAGGTGTACCTGGAGGTAGCCAACTCCTCCTGATAAGGTGCAGGGACGCACTGGAGGCCCAGCAACCAAAAATGCACGCTGGGACTCCAGTGCGTCCCCCTAACCCAAAATAGTCAAACTAGAAAAAATGGTACATGCATGAATCTATAACCGGCCTTTGTAGCTCATTTTATCGCGAACTACAGCTCGCGGTATACTGAGACCGCCACAGC